CTTAAAGTCCTGCATTCAAAATGTTCCTCAGGTACAGAAGTTTTATCAGCACAATGTAGTTGAAGTATGTAAAGTGAAAGTAGTCAGTGAACAGAATGGCCTCTGTCATTGTTGTATTATTATATTAGTGGATGATTATTATTGATGCGTTAACATGTAATCAGTACTTTAATGTTGAAGTTGCTGCAGGTGGAGCCAATATGAACTACTTCAAATACTTTTGGCTGCTTGAATGTAAAATAATTAATTCTATTTTATAAACTGGTCCCATGTTTGAAAAGTAAGCAGGAAGTTAAGCTGTCAGATAAATGCAGCTCCATGAGGCCATCTAGTGGACTGATAGTAGAAGAAGAGCAGCTGATGGCAGCTTTCTGCTCTCATTCTTCCTGAACACTGACTATTGAGAACAAGCAGCATCTCCTCTGGCCAATAACAAACAACTATTTTTCCATGTATTGATTAGTTTGCAGTGTGTGACAGTGATGAGAAAAGGCCATCAGTAGTTCCCAGAGTTCACAGTCATGTTTTCCAACTGCTTCTTTAGTCTGAGCAACAGTCCAACAAGCCAAAGGGATTCAACTGACACTGAGATGAAACAGAGAGAAGCAGCCAATCAGTGAATTCAGCAGCAGCTGCCAAGGTAACAGGATTGATTTTGGATTATTGGACTAGCTGTCAATGCATGCTCTGACTGGATATAGAAGACAGCAACAAGAGCTTTCCAAAGTCAGTCAAATAAAAGTGAAAAGTGAAAAAGAAACTTGAACTGTACTCCTCTAGTGTTCAACCAATCCAACAGACTAAAGAGCATTATGAAAGTACTGCAGCTCAATGTGCCAATAACATTTCTACTCTGCCATGGAAACTGTCAGATGAGTGTATTAAGTATTGAGCTAAATGAGCTCTTTCCTCCAATCGGAACTATATGTGTTTGTCATGTGACTGAGAGGAATGATGGGGAATAATGTGTGATCTCTCTCTGCAGGTTGCTGTGTCTGTGTGAAGGTGTGGGCTCTGCTATGAATCAGTGTGAGGACAGAGAGGAGGGAGTCCCTTCCTCTAAAAGCACTCTGTGTGGGGAACATGACACAAGGACCAAAGCTCAGAGGTGAGATGAGGATCTCTAACTGTCCATGACTCTTCTCCATGTCACAAAGGCTTTGATTCTCCATTTGAAACAAAGACATTTATCTGAGCAAAAGTACATAGTTGTCAGTATTCAAACAGGGCTGGACAATCTGATCTCAAATCAGTATCAGGAGAAACATTCAGCTTCATAATGAGAAATGTAACAGTAACATGTGTTTGAATCAATCAGAGCAGATTTCCTTCCTCATGTTGCTCACTGCTGATGTTTGTCCTGATTCATTCCAGTCTGACCAGTTCCACATTCTGCTCTTCTGGACTGGACTGGGAGCTGATTGCTCTCTGGTTAGATGTTGTAGCTGCTCTCACTTTAATTATATGGAATTCAGACAGTGTGTTGAAGTGTGTGACATCAGTAAATTGTGTTCAGTAACACGTCCATAATGTCAGTAATTGAAGACATTGTTCTTATTGTCCAGCCTTGTATTCAAACATTTCAAATTGTACATCATTTCACAAAGCCTTTGATTCAGTGAGAATGTTTCTGAATATGTGAGCTTTAATGAATTTCTTTCTATCAGGATCCATCAGAGACCAGACTGTCCTGAACCTGAACCCAGCTGTGTGTCCATGAAGAGTGACCGCTCTAAGAGTCGTCTTATATTCTTCAAAGATGGCCGCCATTCTGTTGATCAAAGGTGAGGATTTCAAAGAAGTTATGATAATGTGATGCATAATTTCCCCACCTATGCTGCACACTGCACTGAATATAACTTTAATAAATACACTGAAACATTTCTAAATCAAACACTGACTTTATAGAAATCCTAACCAAGAACTCCCTGGATACAAATACAGTGTTTACAGTAGGTGTATTCAGTCACTGGCAGGTTTTGTCTCTGTGTGTTGTGGGAGCAGTGCAGAATTTATCCTGTTTTTGTATCAGGAGGAAAACACCTGAACCCAGCTGTGTGTCCATGAAGAGTGACTGCTCTAACGGTCGTCTTATATTCTTCAAAGATGGCCGCCACTCTATTGAACAAAGGTGAGGATAGTCAAACACATTCACACTGGGAGCTGCCCAGTACAACCAGTCTGATACAAGCAAAATACTAAGCAGCTCCACTGGAGGTTCTCTGTGCCTTGTTGCTGAGCACTTCAGCAGTGTACAGTGACGGAGGGAGAGCTATATGGAGGGGTTGGTGAGAGCTGTTGGGACTGAACCAAACTGAGCTGTCGATTCTCAGTGGGATCAGCAGGACTAGTAAACCTTTACCACTACAGGGAGTCATCAGATTCACTGTTCACATCCAAATATCACTTCATGACCTTTACTTGGCTTTGTCTCTGTGTGGACAGACATAATGTGGGCTAATTCTTCCTCCACAGAGTGGACCAGGAGAGCTCAGAGGTTCCCAGTGGTCAGTCTGCCCAGCAGCATCAAACACACCTGGACTCCATATTTATGGTCTGTACATGGACAACAACTACTTTTACATCTATTGTGTTCACAATAATCTCCATGCTGCACTTTTTAGACCTGTGGATTGTCAGTCTGTCCAACATGGATCTGATGTTTGCTTCCATGATTTGACTTTGATTGAGTCATTCATATAATATTCTGTTCCAGCTGCTGGAGGACAACATTGTCACTTTTGTGAAGAATGAGCTGAAGAAGATCCAGAAGGTTCTGAGTTCAGATTACCCAGAATGCTTAGAGAGTCAGAAGGCGGGTGAGGAGGTGTTGGATGGTGAGGATGAGGAGCAGAGAAAGAGTAGTAGAGAGGCATTTCTGAAGATCACACTGCACTTCCTGAGGAGAATGAAGCAGGAGGAGCTGGCTGACCGTCTGCAGAGCAGTAAGAGGATTTCTCTAAAGATTTAACACGCTGGATAAATGAGACATTTACTGATGTCTCAACAGATGGACCAAAATATATTCAAATAAAAATTCTTTAGGGAAAATTAAATGCTGAAATCACTAATTCATTAATTAACCACCGTTTTTGTGTATTCATTCAGGAAGTCATTCTGGAGTTTGTCAGCGTAAACTTAAATCTAACCTGAAGAAGAAGTTCCAGTGTGTGTTTGAGGGGATTACTAAAGCAGGAAACCAAACCCTTCTGAACCAGATCTACACAGAGATCTACATCACAGAGGGAGGGACTGCAGAGGTCAATAATGAACATGAGGTCAGACAGATTGAAAGAGCATCCAGGAAACCACACCGACCAGAAACAACAATCAGACAAGAAGACATCTTTAAAGCCTCACCTGGAAGAGATCAGCCAATCAGAACAGTGATGACAAAGGGAGTGGCTGGCATTGGGAAAACAGTCTTAACACAGAAGTTCACCCTGGACTGGGCTGAAGGCAAAGCCAACCAGGACATACAGTTCACATTTCCATTCACTTTCAGAGAGCTGAATGTGCTGAAAGACAAAAAGTACAGCTTGGTGGAACTTGTTCATCACTTCTTTACTGAAACCAAAGAAGCAGGAATCTGCAGGTTTGAAGAGTTCCAGGTTGTGTTCATCTTTGACGGTCTGGATGAGTGTCGACTTCCTCTGGACTTCCACAACACTGAGATCCTGACTGATGTTACAGAGTTCACCTCAGTGGGTGTGCTGCTGACAAACCTCATCAGAGGGAATCTGCTTCCCTCTGCTCGCCTCTGGATAACCTCACGACCTGCAGCAGCCAATCAGATCCCTCCTGAGTGTGTTGACATGGTGACAGAGGTCAGAGGGTTCACTGACCCACAGAAGAAGGAGTACTTCAGGAAGAGGTTCACAGATAACGATCAGGCCAGCAGAATCATCTCCCACATCAAGACATCACAAAGCGTCCACATCATGTGCCACATCCCAGTCTTCTGCTGGATCACTGCTACAGTTCTGGAGGATGTGTTGAAGACCAGAGAGGGAGGAGAGCTGCCCAAGACCCTGACTGAGATGTACATCCACTTCCTGGTGGTTCAGTCCAAACTGAAGAACGTCAAGTATGATGGAAGAGCTGAGACAGATCCACACTGGATTCCAGAGAGCAGGAAGATGATTGAGTCTCTGGGAAAACTGGCTTTTGAGCAGCTGCAGAAAGGCAACCTGATCTTCTATGAATCAGACCTGACAGAGTGTGGCATCGATATCAGAGCAGCCTCAGTGTACTCAGGAGTGTTCACACAGATCTTTAAAGAGGAGAGAGGACTGTACCAGGACAAGGTCTTCTGCTTCGTCCATCTGAGTGTTCAGGAGTTTCTGGCTGCTCTTCATGTCCATCTGACATTCATCAACTCTGGAGTCAATCTGCTGGCAGAAAAACAAACAACATCCCTGAAGTCTAAATTATTTAAGGACAAACAAAATCTAAAATATCTCCACATGAGTGCTGTGGACACAGCCTTACAGAGCCCAAATGGACACCTGGACTTGTTTCTCCGCTTCCTCCTGGGTCTTTCAATGCAGACCAATCAGAATCTCCTACAAGGTCTGCTGACACAGACAGGAAGTAGCTCACAGACCAATCAGGAAACAGTCCAGTACATCAAGAAGAAGATCGGAGAGACTCCCTCTGCAGAAAGAACCATCAATCTGTTCCACTGTCTGAATGAACTGAATGATCGTTCTCTAGTGGATCAGATCCAACAGTCCCTGAGTTCAGGAAGTCTCTCCACAGATAAACTGTCTCCTGCTCAGTGGTCAGCTCTGGTCTTCATCTTACTGTCATCAGAAAAAGATCTGGACCTGTTTGACCTGAAGAAATACTCTGCTTCAGAGGAGGCTCTTCTGAGGCTGCTGCCAGTGGTCAAAGCCGCCAGCAAAGCTCTGTAAGTACAGAGAGAGTTGGATTTCTTTTTTATTACTTAAATACTTTTCAATAAACTGCTTGTTTTTTCTTTATTATTGTCTTTTCAGACTGAGTGACTGTAACCTCTCAGAGAGAAGCTGTGAAGTCCTGTCCTCAGTTCTCAGCTCCCAGTCCTCTAGTCTGAGAGAGCTGGACCTGAGTAACAACAACCTGCAGGATTCAGGACTGGACCTGCTGTCTGTTGAATTGGAGAGTCCACACTTTACACTGGAAACTCTCAGGTCAGATCACAGTATAGATGGTGTTTAGTAAAGGTAAACATCAGCCCGTTGGCCATTTGTCTCCACTGACAAAATCTTTTACTTTCATAGCTTACTGGTGGCCCGCAGGCCACATCCAACCCATCTGGTCCACAGCACAGCCATTGATGAAAGTATTTATATATTTACAATATTACAAACTGAATATCAATGGGGACATTCCCAGAAAAAAGCAGTATTAAGTCACTGCTGATGCAAACAGAATACTTCCTGCTGCGACAGCTTCAAATTTAAAGCATTTAACTGGAGAAAAACTCTCCTCCTGCTCCTTCTACTACTCAGTATTGGCCGATGTTTGTCCTCACAAGGCTGATAAAATAATATCTCCAGACACATCTGCAGGCAGCCTGGTCAGTGTGCCTGCTATGGAACGATGTTAGGGCTCCCCCTTTTTGGGAAAGTGGTGAAAAGGTTGGTTTTGACCCCTGTACTGTAACTCTCCTGTGGTAAACATATGCCTGAATTTCCTGTAGAACCGAATTGAATTATACATGACTTTTCTTTGTCTTGATATCAGCATTCTATATCGGCCTATAGCTTTGCTCAGTAAATATCAGGATTAGAATGTCCCATATTGATTGACCAGAAGTCACAGGAAATAAAAAGTGTTCGTCTGTGAGCTCGATGCTGACAGTCCACTATTGTTCATCTAAAATGCATCTGCAAAACAAGACAATGGCAATTTTTCATCATTTTTAAGAGTGGATCAGTTTGAAATATGTCAGTGAGTAATGGAACAAGAAGGAGCAGCCACAGTGAGCTGAGAGACGAAGAGATGTAGGTGACACGCTGCAACCTCTCAACCAAGTAACCAAAGATACTTTCACTGACGTTTAACTGCCGGGGTCATATGCACAATAACAGATCACACAGTCAGGACTGTATTCTTACGGATCTTAACCATCACTCCTCAGTGATCTACCTCCTCTGTGGAGGTCTGAAAGTGCTTTATAGTATCCAGTTTTCATTATGGATTTGAATGTTTTATTTTTGTACACACTGATAGGCGAATAAAAATAACATCAAGTTTTTAAGAAAATGTAAATATTTAACAATAACAAGCTAATTCAGTTTTTATTTTCATAGTCCAACCCCCACAGAAAAGTAAAAGGACTTTTAAAATAACATTGGCTACACTAAAGCTGATAGCCTCAGTCTGAGGGACAGCTGTAGGGGAAAGGAGAGAGGACAGGAGAGGAAATGAGATTGAGAACATTCAGTACATTTATTTCCTGCTCTCAAAACCTGGATTTTAAACCCTTCACACTGGTTGGTTCCTAACCACTGGGTCATATGTTTACAACCATATAATGTCCAGCTTGTGTCATTCCTTCAATATCTTATCAAATGTGATTTCAATTTAATACAAATGTTATTTTGTCTCTTCAGACTGAGTGGCTGTAACCTCTCAGAGAGAAGCTGTGAAGTTCTGTCCTCAGTTCTCAGCTCCCAGTCCTCTAGTCTAAGAGAGCTGGACCTGAATAACAACAACCTGCAGGATTCAGGTGTGAAGCTTCTGTCTGCTGGACTGGGGAGTCCACACTGTACACTGGAAACTCTCAGGTCAGGATCCATTGATGTGTTCAACTGATTACCACATATATTCTGATTCACATGTGGGCAACACTATGTGAGATTTGGTATTTGTTGATGTAACTTGTGCCATAAAGAGACACTAAGGGTCCCAACCAAAAAACAAATATTACACTGTGCAAGAACAGGCGTACAGAGGAAGCATTCATCCTGGTACAAGTCAGCGTAACATCAAAATGATTCTGAAGCTGTTATTGTATAGTAGAAAAATTACACCACATTGCTTCAGTGGCTACAATCATAACCTCCCTAACATTATCTCAGCTTGTAGGATTTGACACCTGTTTTGTTTATTTAGTTTCAGTCTCTTTACATGATAATGTTTATTATGTAATGTGTTTTGTGTGTTTGCAGGCTGTCAGGCTGTCTGATCACAGAGGAAGGTTGTGCTTCTCTGGCCTCAGCTCTGAGCTCCAACCCCTCCCATCTGAGAGAGCTGGACCTGAGCTACAATCATCCAGGAGACTCAGGAGTGAAGATACTGTCTGCTGGACTAGAGGATCCAAACTGGAGACTGGACACTCTCAGGTGTGAATAGGATAAACACAGACAGGAACAGTACCCAGGATTATCCAACACAGAGATGAAGAAAGCAGTGTCAAAGTCAGACACTTTGTACATCCAACAATCCACCTACCATTTGTAGCAATTTCAGGCTACTTTCTACTGTTCTGTAGACAGTCATTATTACACAAACACAAGAAGTCTCTTGTTTGGACCAAAACATGGTCATTTTAAAGCTCCAATAATCAATATTTCTATACTGACAATGGATGGACAGACTCTGTGTAATGGTGAAGTGTGCTGTGGTGTGATAAACTGAATAATTGTTTAGACCTCTGCAGATCCACAGAGCTTTTTAGTCTCTTTTAGCTCCTAGTTTTGGTTTTGTGGAACATTTAGAGTCTGTTTCAGTTTCAGGGTTTCCAGCAGCAGCAGTTTTCATCCACCAAGCTCTGATAAAGCCACTGTACACTGTGGTCAGCAGGTAGTGAACACAGTGGAGCATTTAGCAGCTACAGAGCCAGATATTTCCCTCAGGAGTTGCTAGTGAGCAAACACAGATCTAAAGAGAGTGAATATTGGACTTCAGCAGGTGACAGAAACACATCTCCAGTGGGATGATCATGTTGCACCTGGCAGCTGGTCGATATCATGTTAGACACAACTACTTTATAAACAGATTTGTTTACTGTTTGTTTTCACTGAACTCCAAGTGAACAAATAAATCAGTTGGTGCAGGTTTAATCATTTGATTTACTGACTGACTGGTTGAGGAAACTGAGTCTGAACTTTATGGTGATTGTCAGTATAATGCTGATAATAATAAATATTAAATAATAAATCAATAAGTCAAAACTAATGAGCTGTAACAATCAGCCAATAAGATGCTCCACTGAACTAAGAGAATATCAGCTGATGAATAATAAGTGTTCCATGTGAAGATGTAAGTCCATTTGTAGAGAATAACCTCTGTGTATGACAGTGATGTAATGTCCATGTTTTCATGCTGAAAGAGGATGTACTGGTCTGACCCCCCTCCTCCTTTCAGGGTGGAGCCTGCTGGAGTCCGATGGTTGAGACCAGGTCTGAGGAAGTGTAAGTGTGTTTTTAATTGTTTTTTGTGATCACATTTTTCTATTGTGTTATATAGGTGTTATATATCTTTCCACTACCCTCCTTTATCACCATGGCATTACTCTTTCTGCTTTATGCCATACTGACAAAAAAAAATTTTTATAATGGGGCCAAAGCGAATTTTGGCTTGTTTTAGTGGAATGGCAGAAGGGATGTTTCATCCCTATAAGGGCTTTTGATAGATAAGTTAAATGTTTTTTTTTAAAAGTGCATTTATCTTTGTCTAAATTAACTTTGAATGTATATAGGGAATAATATAAGGAGTGAAACTCTGTGTGTTTATATCCTTAGGATCAGTTAGTCATTTTCCAGAAGAAATTCTGCTTTAGCTCTTAAGAAAGTGTAAAGTTTGGACTTAGTGGTCTCTGTGTGTTTTTTTCTATCCATTGAGAACCCAGAATTGTGTTGGTTTTTTTTTTCAGTATTTAACAGAGATTCATATTTATTTATTTTACCCAATCTGCTCTTGTTTAATTGAGATAAGAAGGAGATAGAGGAATTCAGGATACAGGCTTTAACTGAATACTGCAACATACATAGGTCATCAACAGATTTCGCATTCTCAGATAAAAAAAATATTAAGTTGACTAAAATAATTACAACAATCGTCATTTCTGAGAAATGTTGTGTTGAAACGCCATCTAGTGGATTTTACAGTAGTATCAATAAGAGTTAAGTTAGAATTTGGCATAGATAATAGAATGATCAGATAACTGATTGAAAGTTATGTCTGTCTTGTGCACTTGTGGAATAGCATTGGTAGTGACTAACAGATAATCTGTTCTTGAGTAGGTCTTATGTCTGTCAGAGTAGAAGCTATATTCTCTAGAAGGATGTAAAGAACAAATCTTTTGACTGAAACTGAAATCAGCTATGAGACCTTGAAGAGCTTCAGTGGAAAGTTTGTGAGAATGTTGGTCTCTGGGAAGAACTGTAAAGAGAAGGATTTAGAGTGGCATTCATGTCTGCACCAATAATAACTTAAATTCTTGCTAGCTGGATAGTAGCACGACAATGATCTTATAAAAGTTTCAATCAAGTTGATTAGGGCCATATATGGAAATGTTGGGAAATGATAGTTGTTATTTTTTACCCATCTGTACTGCAATCATCTTCTAGAACTGTCAGAAGAAGATACTGTTTAAAGACGACAAGAGAACCACGTACAGCAGTATGACAGAACGATGTGTATCAGATTGTTGAAGGTGTGATTCTTATATAAAAGCTACATCAAACTGCTGTTTGCCGAGGTCATCTAAATATATAATAATTAATACAGGAACTATTTGTCATGAGAGACCAAGTTGGCACAAGCACAAAAATTGTTCCTTTGAGTGAAAGTATTAAAGAAAGTAAGAGATCTTATATCCCAACCCCGGGTAACCTTGCCCCAAAAGGAAAGAAAAACCTAGCAACAAAACTTAAGTTATATAACAGAAAACGATAATATACAATCATCAAAAATAAATAGATCAATTAGGAGTAATGAAAAGGTTTATGATTTTTTGGACATGTATGATTGTGATTGAAGAAGGGTTTAAATAATTATATGGCTCCACTGCGTAGAAACTTAGGATAAATCATTAAGATATATAGACCCATTATAGTCACCTATACATACATATACCTATATAGAGAGCGATTATGAGATGATAAATTATTTAGTCTCTGCCCTTATGCATTCCAGTTCAGTTTTAAGGAGCCTAGTAAAGTCTAGAATAATTCCAAATTATACTATTATAATATTAATATATTTAATATTAACTTCAACCTTAAAGGTCATACACAACATACCAGTAGCTACCTGCAGTTTCAAGGTTATCATGTGTATGAAGAAAATCTTAAGCTTCCTTGCTTGAGTTGAAGATGTGCACTTCAGATCTCTGTGGTAACATGAGCCACCGAGTATGAAACCGTGGTAACGTGAGCCATTGAGTTATTATGGTAAGAGTGGGCTCTGAGTGAAGGTCCTAAAAGATACATATACCCGTTTTCTGTCATGTTCTTTCGGTGTTTGTTTATGATAATGACTACATACTAAAATAATGATAACTAGAATTATAATAACAAATACAATTATAGAAAATATATATAACACTTTTTTCTACTATTTTATGAACATTGTACTAAGCAGCCATCTTGTCTACAGGTCACCTGATGTAATTTGATTCATGAAAACAAAGCAGCACACATTCAACCATCTTCAGACTGTGACATCACTCATTCACAGCTCTGATGTCATCATCAAAGTGTCAATCAATGATCAGATGATAGATCAATAACTGCAGCTGTATTGTGTCTTGTTCTCTCCATCAGATTCCTGTGAACTCACAGTCGACACAAACACAGTGAACAGAAAGATCAAACTGTCTGACAACAACAGGAAGGTGATAGTTGTGAAGGAGGATCAGCCATATCCTGATCATCCAGACAGATTTGACTTCTGGCCTCTGCTGCTGTGTAGAAATGGTCTGACTGGTCGCTGTTACTGGGAGGTCGAGTGGAGAGGAGGAGTTTCTATATCAGTGAGTTACAGAGGAATCAGCAGTAGAGGAAACAGCATAGATTGTTTGTTTGGAAGGAATGATCAGTCCTGGACTCTGGAGTGTTCTGATGGTGGTTACTCTGTCTGTCACAATAACAGAAGAACATTTATCGCCTCCTCCTCCTTCTCCTCCTCCTCTGGTAGAGTAGCAGTGTATGTGGACTGCCCTGCTGGCACTCTGTCCTTCTACAGAGTCTCCTCTGACACACTGATCCACCTCCACACCTTCAACACCACATTCACTGAATCTCTTTATCCTGGGTTCTGGTTGTGGTCTGGTTGGATTGGTTCCTCAGTGTCTCTGTGTCCTCTGTTGGAGGGAGAGAGAAACTTTCTCACTGCTGACCAGATAGCTCAGTCTGTACAGGATCACACACAGCTGATGTTAGTTAGTACTCACCTGATGTGTTTACTGTAAGAGAGGAGGAAGAGGAGGCTGAAGGAAGAGAAGAGCAAAGGAGGCTGGGATGAAGGGATCATGTGTGAGGGTAATGTGCAACCTGCAGACGTAGAGATGAAAGAAATGATTGAAATAACTGATCTTATTCTAAGAAGACAAATTGAAATTTTTAGGATCAAATGTGGCTGCTTGTTTTTCAAATCTTCTTTTTGAAAGCACAGTTAGAGAG